TAAAATCTAGCAGAAATCTGTAAGATCCGTATTTCTTCCGAGACAAAAAAATTAAGGCAGATTTACCCAGGACAACAAATCATCTCAAGTAACTTAGCCAACCCGAATCCACAGGTACATAATTGCATCACAGACAAATAACCTAGATCCATTAATACATAATCACATCACATAAAAAATAGCCCTAAGAATCCATTAACATAGAATGGCATCGCTGAAGATAAAGCCCATACATCTTTTCTACCAGCAGAATCGTACAAGCGACGATTCAATAATGGATTATTAAACCTTCTGCTTTGGGTCCGGGATGGTCTCCGGAGCGGGCCGCCGGGGCCTCTTGTGGGACCGTACTGAATCATCAGAGGATGAGTAAATGCAGTGCTCCTTCTCCTTCCCCTTGCTCCCCTACGTAGCCATCTTCCTCTAAAACCCCAACCAAAATTGTCAGTACTACTATCGAATACGTACTACCCAAACCAACCTTTAAAGACAAAACAAATTGTCAATCTCAGCAAAAAGCTTCCACGAGGACAAGAAAGAGAACAACTCGAGCAGAGGAGAGGAGGGCTGAAGAGAATCCGGGAATGTGTGGTAGGGAACTTACTGCCTAGCACCTCCTTTTAAAAGTCCCAAAAGACTCGTGTTTCTATCCTCGCCTCTAGGAATTCATGCTTCACCGCCAGCTAGATACATTTTCTTCTAAATTTGTTCTCACCCGTGTTTCTTTTTTGCATATAGATTAGCACAAATCTTGTAAAACACACATGCATGCGTTAGGATTACACTTATGGTAGATTTTAATTTCTTGGCTGGAATTACCAATGGCTAGCTACCTCCACAAAATAGCCCGATCCATGACTTGGACTGTAATAACAAGTTGTCTATCTATGGTAGAAGTATCCATTATTTAGAAATATCCGTTCTTTTGAGAATTGGATACATGTACCTAGTAAAGATATTTTGTCCACGTCACAAATCAGGGTGTTCTGTAGAAGTAGCTATTGATAATTCCAGGCAAGAAATAAAAGCTTATCAGAAGTTACAACACTACTAATCTATACGAAAATGAAACACACAAGTGCAACTAAATTTAGAACAAAATACATCTCGCTCTGGTGGTGATGAATTCATAGTCAAGAACATAAAGATGAGAGTTCTGGGACTTTAAAAGGAGATGCTAGGCGGCAAGTTTCTCACCAGGCATTGCCGGATTATCCTGGTTAGCCCTCCTCTCCTTGGCCCAAGTTGTTGTCTTCCGTGGGCGCAGAACCTACGCTTTCTATTCAGGTTGCCATTTTGTCTCCTCTTTTTGTTTGCCTTGGTAGTGAATAGTAGTAGCAGTAGTAACAAGTTCTGTTGGAGTTGATGCAGGATCCTCGTTTCTTGGTCGAAACTCTTGTAGATGGCTGCCCAGCAGAACAAGGGAAGTAGAAGATGCGCTGCATGGATTCACTATTTGAGGATTTAGGACGGTCCTACAAGAGGCCCCTGCAGCTAGCTCGAGAGCAGGTATAAGTATAATAATTTATCAGATTGTGGTTGTAGGATTCTGCTTCTAGATAATCTATATGGGATTTATCTTCTTCGATGCAGTTCCATATTAATGGATTCTAGGGTTAGTTTTTCTGTGATATGATAGTGAATTAATGGATTAGCATAGGACTAAGTTGTCTCTGTGATGCGATTCTGCATCAATGCCTTCGAGTTGGGCTAAATTGCTTGTGAGGATGATCTGTTATTCTTGGTAAATCTTCCTTAATTTCTTTCTTTGGACTACAAATCTTACATATTTCTGCTAGATTTTATGAGTCGGCTATGTGGAATGCAAAAAAGGCTTACCATGAATTGTCATTTATTTCCTGAACTTGTTAACATTTTGAAGGAAAATAATTAGCAGAAAAGATAGATAAAAATCTTGTGTTGTATATATGCATTTCATACTTTGGCTCCAACTCTGCCCTTTTCTTTCAAGTTATGGCCTTGCTATTTCAAATATGTCATGCAAGAAAAATGACAGACCTCACCTGTACAACTATCTATGACTCTTTAGTTTTGCAGAATGCACATGGTTCCTTGAAAATTAGGGATAGAACGGGATGGGAACATGGTATCATGATTGATGGAAGCAGATGATGGAAAATGTAGGTACTGATAAATGATTGGGCGCAACGGTGGTGTTACCAGCCTCAAGCACCATGTTGCTAGTGGCAGTGACAGGTTAAGGGTGTGCCCATCTGCTCCCAAAGATGTCTCCACTGAGATGAAACATTTGTCGGACAATACGAGGCAGAAACCGCGAAAGCGGACCGCACGAAAAGGGGCTGTTGTGCAACCGGCTATGGACACAACCTCTGAGTCCAAGAACTATGTACCCTTGAACACAGGTGTACTATGCTCCACACTAAGCAATTCGACAGAAGGTTCCATGATACCTAATGATATTGAGATAGAGTACTGCTGAATCGCTTAGTGTGGAGCATAGTACACCTGTGGTCAAGGGTACAAAGTTCTTGGACACAGAGGTTGTGGCCATAGCCGGATGCACAACAACTCCTTTTTGTGTGGTCCGCTTGCGTGGTTTCTACCTCGTACTATCTAACAAACATTACGTCTCATTGGAAACATCTTTGGAAGGAGATGGGCATGCCCTTAGACTGCTACTACCACTGGGAACATGGTGCTTGAGGATGGTGACACCACTGCTGCACCCAATCATGTAGCAGTACCTACACCTCCATCGTCTGCTTCCGTCAATCATGAACCATGTTTCCATCCCGTCCTATCCCTAATTTTCAAGGAACCACGTGCATTCTGCAAAACTGAAGAGTGTTAGATAGTTGTACAGGTCTTCCATATTTTTGCATCACATATTTGAAATAGCAAGGCCACGATAACTTGAAAGAAAAGGGTAGAGCTGGAGCCAGAGTATGAAATGCATACAACACAAGATCTTTATCTATTTTTTCTGCTAATTATTTTCCTTCAAAATGTTAACATGTTTAGGAAATAGATCATAATTCATGGTAAGCCTTTTTTGCATTCCATGGAGCTGGATCATAACTAGCAGAAATATGTAAGATTTGTAGTCCAGAGAAAGAAATTAAGCCAGATTTACCAAGAACAACAGATCATCCTCACAAGAAATTGAGCCCAACTCTAACGCATTGATGTAGAATCGCATCACAGAGACAGGTCCTATGCTAATCCATTAATACACAATCATATCATAGGAAAACCATCTCTAGAATCCATTAACACAGAACTGCATTGAAGAAGATAAATCCCATACAGCTTATCTACTAGCAGAATCCTACAACCACAATCTAATAAAGTATTATACTTATACCTGCTCTGGAGCAGGCTGCCGGGGCCTCTTGTAGGATCGTACTGAATCCTCGAACAGCGAATCAGTGCAGCGCATCTTCTCCTTCTACTTGTTCTGCTGGGCAGGCATCTACTAGAGTTCCGACCAAGAAACGAGGATTCTGCATCAACTCCAACCAAACTTGTTACTACTGCTACTAGTATCCAATGCCCAACCAAACAAAAAGAGGAGACAAAATGGCAACCTGAACAGAAAGCGTCGGTTCTGCCCCCCACGGAAGACAACAACTTAGGCGGAGGAGAGGACGGATGACCAGGATAATCAGGCAATGCCCGATGAGAAACTTGCCAACTAGCAACTCCTTTTAAAGTCGCAGAGTTCTCGTCTTTCTGTTATTGACTATGAATTCATCACCGCTAGAGCAAGATGTATTTTGTTCTAAATTTACTTGCGCTTGTGTGTTTCTTTTTTGTATAGATTATTAGTATTGTAACTTCCGATAAGCTTTTGTTTCTTGCTTGGAATTATCAACGGCTACTTCTACATAACACCCTGATTCGTCACGTGGACAAATTATCTTCGCTAGGTACATGTATGCAATTCTCTAAGGAATGGATACTTATGAATAATGGATACTTTACCTTAGATAGACAAGTTGTTATTACAGTCCACGTCATGGATCAGGCTATTTTGTAGAGGTAGCTAGCCATTGGTAATTCCAGCCAAGAAATTAAAATGTACCATAAATGTAATCCTAACACATGTGTGTTTTACAAGATTTATGGTAATCTATATGCAAAAAAGAAACTTGGATGAGAATGAATTTAGAAGAAAATGTACCTAGCCAATGATGCATGAATTTGTTGGAACCGCAGCCCTCTAGCTACCTCTCCTCTCACTCGAACGAAGGTGAAAGAAGAAGAACAATGGACAAAAGAGATTTTCCGGCCGGCACACGAACGCCGCCACGGGCGCACGAACGCCCCAATCCTTTTTTCTTTCCGGTGGCTACATGGCTTTTGCCGACGCACATCACAAGCAATACACACAGGGCTTTTTATACCCGAGATACACACACGCATGCACCACCAGCCCGGCAACATACCCACGCACACACGTAGCAATCCAACCACTACTGGCCGGCTAACACGCTAACAGCCCATGCATGCATCCATATATCAACTGCCTAGACTAATTCACGTATGACTCGTATGGCTCGGCCACCACCTGCGACAACTAATCCAACTACATGCATGCACGAACAGTCACAGCACACACGACGCTGCGCCAACTGATACGCCGCCGGTCACCACGCCGAGCCGTGGTTTACTTCTAACATACTCCCCCTAAACCATGACTTGCCTCCACGTCGGCGGAGTCGTTGCAGCTCTCGTCGTCGTTCTGGTCGCGGCCGTGACCCAGCCCGCGGACCCGACCTGGCGCACCGACGACGGTCGCACCGTGCTCCGTCACGACTCCGGCGACACACGCCGAGCTTCTTCTCCGCCGGCGACACACGCCTGGCATCCCTTTGCGCCCCGCACGTCTCGCACGCATCCAACGCGCCCGACGAGCCCGACCGGACCAGTGCATCCCGCACGTCCCGCGGGCACCCAACGCGTTCGACGAGCCCGACAGCACTAGACACTCACCGCGCGCCGCCTCCGCGTCCGCCATGGCAGCCGCCCGCGACAAACGCCGGAAGGATGTAGCCGAACTCGAGCACGGACTCGAGCACAACGGCGACATACGCCTCCTCCCAACGTCAACCGCACGCTCGTACGTGCGCCCGCGGTCCTGGCGTGCCCGACGCGTCCCGTGCGCACCCATAACACGCACCGGTCGCGCCCGGCACGCCGCCACGGCTTATTGCCCTGCACCGCTGCGGCCTCAACCACAGCGCAACACCTTCATGCCGCCATGTCGCTGTGTGTCGTTGAAGCCGCCACCTCGCAGGTCCTCCGCGGCCTCCTCACCGTGCTGCCGCAGCCACCGCGGCCTCCTCGTTGCGCCGCGCACCTCCATAGACCGACACACGGCCTGGAGCATCGCGCTGCCGCCGGCGAACTCCGCCACCGCCGGCACACCTCCGGCAAGGAGAACGATGCCCAAGATGAACCAGCTCATGATACCAAATGTTGGAACCGCAGCCCTCTAGCTACCTCTCCTCTCACTCGAACGGAGGTGGAAGAAAAAGAACAATGGACAAGAGAGATTTTCCGACCTGCGCACGAACACCGCCACGGGCGCACGAACGCCCCAATCCTTTTTTCTTTCCGGTGGCTACATAGCTCTTGCCCGACGCACATCACAACCAATACACACAGGGCTTTTTATACCCGAGATACACACACACACGCACCACCAGCCCGGCAACATACCCACGCACACACGTAGTAATCCAACCACTACTGGCCGGCTAACACGCTAACAGCCCATGCATGCATCCATATATCAACTGCCTAGACTAATTCACGTATGACTCGTATGGCTCGGCCACCACCTGGGACAACTAATCCAACTACATGCATGCACGAACAGTCACAGCACACACGACGCTGCGTCAACTGATACGCCGGTCACCACGCCGAGCCGTGGTTTACTCCTAACAGAATTCTCAGAGGCAAGGATAGAAACACGAGTCTTTTGTGACTTAAAAATGGAGGTGCTAAGTAGTAAGTTCCTAACCAGACATTCCCAGATTCTCGTCAGCCCTCCTCTCCTCTGCTCGAGTTGTTCCGTTTCTGGTTCTCGTGGAAGCGTTCTGCTCAGATTGCCAATATGTTTTGTCTGTAATGGGTGGTTTGGGTAGTACATAGTAGTACTGACAATTTTGGTTGGGGTTGTAGAGGAAGATGGCCACGCATGGGGAGCAATGGGAAGGAGAAGGTGCAGTACTCGTTCTCCGACTATTCAGTACGATCCTACAAGAGGCCACAGCGGCCCGCTCTAGAGACCATCCCGGACCCGGAGCAGCATGTTTAATAATCCTCTATTGAATTCTCGCTTGTACAATTCTATTGGTAGAAAAGATGTATGGGCTTTATCTTCTACTTCCTCCGTCCCATAATGTAAGACGTTTTTTGACAATAGTGTAGTGTAAAAACACGTCTTACATTATGAGACGGAGGACGATACAATTCTGTGTTAATGGATTCTAGGGCTAATTTTTAATGTGATGTGATTATGCATTAATGGATCTTGGTTATTTTTATGTGATGCAATTATGGATCTGTGTATTCAGGTTGGATGAGTTCCTTGAGATGATTTGTAGTTCTGGGTAAATCTGCCTTAATCTTTTTGTCTCGAAGAAATACTGATCTTACAGATTTCTGCTTGATTTTATCATTCAAATCCATGGAATGAAAAAAGCTTAACGTGAATTTTCCCCTTCGGAGGACCCGTTAACTAGCGAGTATGCTTCGTACAGTATTGTCCTCTTGGGAGGACCCTGTAACTAGTGAATCATGGTAAGATTTTTTACTCTATATGGCTGAAAGGTAAATTTAAGAAAACATCTTGAAATCTCTACAGTACTATCAGAAAAGTAAGAAGATTTACCCAAAATAATTGGTTGTCAAAAACAAGAAATAATGCCCAGAAGATTGTTTTGTTTAACAAACTATGAAAAAAACATATCTAATCCTATGCAAGCTGATTGTTCCATTGTTACCTGGGAGGATATGTAGATACATGTTCACACGGTACGATATGTGTTTATGAATAGTCATCAAATTCTTCAGTTCATTTCATTGAACTAGCTACCGTCGTAGGGTATGCTAACAAAGGAGTATATATTTTATTAATAATATTGATTTCTCACAATGTCTTTCACTAGGGATTTAAAAAGGTTTTGGTGAGGAGATGGCCCAAAGTAACTTTTTTGCATGCTAATACGTGTCTCATTTATATCATAAGAATCATAGTACAAACTTCACAAATCACAAAACACTAGTCGCTACTATCATCATCATCATCATCATCATCATCATCATTATTATCCTCTACTATTAAAGGAGAGTTGATACGTTCTCCTCACATCACTCCTCCCTCCTATGTTGGCTTTTATCTCTCCACGCCCTCCTTCCTTGGTTTGAAATAATCTAAATGCGATCAATACTTTCCTTTCCTTTTTTTACTGGAAACCATGTCTACATTAACTCAATCAAATCTTATCAAAACTATGTCATGCATTAACTCAATGAAATGAAATCTTACCAAAATCTTAACTAAATAAAAACTTCCCTTGCCTTCCCCTAGTCATACCCAAATCAAATAAAACCTTACTAAAATCTCAACTAAATCAAATTTTTTCTTGCAATCCCCGACACATACTCAAATCAAATCTTACCAAAATCTAGAATGGTATATATATATATATATATATATATATATATATATATATATATATATATATATATCAGACACGACTACTGTTGAACCATTAGAATACTTATGCCTTCAATTGTAACACAACGAGGAATTAGCTAGTAAGAAATAAAAGAGGCATGGCCTACCTTAACTATCTCCCAACAACTCACATCATCTCCATATAAAATGCTTTGAAAAGTTGTAATGACAAGTGATTAATCGCTAAGAAAAAGGAGAGTGATCTATACTCACTCAACATAAACCAATCAGACACGTTAATATAAATATTTTAGAAGGGTGCTCATCTGAAAAAAAGCCAATACCCGACTTTCCTAATCTTGGCTCAAGGTGCTCTACCCCTGGATACTCCCGCAGATCTGACCTGTAAATGACATAATTTATCTCAATCAAACTGCTGAGCGGTACCGTTTCTTTTACGTTTTAAAAGGCATGATTTTTCGAGTGCATCTATGATCTACTGCCTTTCTCCCATAATATAAGATGTTATTACGACCAATATGTGAGCACAATGCCTGTAGTAACATCTTATATTATAGGATGGAGGGAGTAATAAGTAGCTAGGTACATGATCTATCATTATCTATTTCATATTTTTTAGCCCATCTAGTCAGTCATCACGATCCATTGTCATCTTTAGATTTACACAATAATGAAAACCGAGGACGTTGCCATATAAAGATATGGTGGCATGTGATCGCCTCATCACAAGACTAGGACGAACTTAATTTTTTTCAATGCATGATTTGGGAATGTTGTAGGACTCGTTAATTACATACCTCATCTATCATGCTTGATCTTGTGGCCTTGAGTTGATCCAGCTGGGTGTCATGATCCATTTCCATCGTTATATTTATGCAATGGGGATTCACTTCAGGCCCACCATAGCTCTAGTGAGCGATGATTATATAGCAATCACCCCCTGTTAAACTTGTGAGATATCTTCTCAATGGATGATTTTGCTAACACTTATTGGATTTGCTAATAAGGTACCTTATATGTCGTGCCTGGTCTTCCAGATCTGCGGGAATCCGGTCGAATATCATGATCCATCTTTGTTGTGAGATCTACACCATGGGCATCCATCGATGCCCATATTAGATCTAGAGAGCAACGATGACGGGAAGCAATGTGTTTTGAGAGTGTTTCCATCTATCTAGATCCGGTGGCTTGTGCCATGGATTCTTGTGAAGCTCAAAGCTCAAACTAGGAGGAATGGGTCAAGGCTTACAACTCGCAACAAATTGACAACGGGCGGTAGGAGGCGGTCATCTTGCAAGGTTGTCACCGGACCATCGGTATGGCGCCTAATGGTGTCAAGGTATGGAATCAGCAAAGAAGTAGAGACCATACGGTGATTATAATCTCTAGAGAGAATTGAGGGTTGTGTGAGAGGGCCGGCGGCGGAGGCGGAGGAGGGAAGTGGAAGGCATGGGTGGGGATTTAGGGTTAGGCAGGCTTAAATAGACCCATTGGATATTTTAGGGAAGTGTATGCAAGTTTTTCTTGATAGTCCCTCAATAAACTAAATTTCTAGAAATGTTCTTTTTACCGGAAAGGACAAACTTGCTAAAAATGTGAATCTTTTCAAGAACCTACACTGAAGTCTCGAATATTTAATATCCCTTATAGAGACATGAAGGAGGATACAAGATGTGAATTGACGGTAAGAGATATCTCATGCAGAAAAGGTTCCTTGCACCATCCCAAATAAAATCTTACAAACTTTACTCTCATCTGCACAAAGTCACTTAGTCTTTTATTAAGACAAAATGTTTTAAGTGTTACCAACTTTATAAAAAAATATTTACAACACCCAAAAAGGGACAGTTTTTTTGGTGCCTTTTTTGGGCTTCTAGAATAAGCTACCCCCTACCCAGCTTATTCTAGAAGCCCAACCAAAAATATATTTTAGAAGCCTACTAGTCAGATCTTAATTAGTAGGCTTCTAAAAAATAGGGGGCAGCTTATTCCAGCTTATTCTAGAAGCTAGCAAAAGAACTGGCCTTAAATACATTGTGAAAACATATTTCCTCATAGATCTAGTGATAAATGTTTTGGTTGTGTGGATAATGCCGTCACTGAAAAGAACACAAGGCATTGTCAGTTTAACGATCACACTAAAAAATAGTAGTAGGCCATCCTTCACAAAGTTGGTGTCTCCAATTAGTAGGTCTTGGGGTTTTCACCTAAGTTCAATGTGGGAATAAGCTCTCAGTGACGCCTCAAAGGTAAAACACTGAGCATGGATGTGTCAATATAAGCAAAGCCGGTCATCGACCCGTTCATAGCTTTGCCTCGTTTGCATCTTATTATGTTTACTAGTCACATTGTTTCATAGACCCCGGAGCTATAGTTTTCACTAGAGGCTTCTCTCCTGAAAGAATGCATACGATGGGCAAACAAATTATTATTGAGCAATTGATAGAAAAGCGCAATGTTGTGGCGATATCTGAGGCAATGATCATGAATATAGGCATCATGTCCGTGAGAAGTAGAGCGACTCCTGCCTGCATCTACTACTCTTACTCCACACATCGACCGCTATATCCAGCATGCATCTAGTGTATTAAGTTAACAAGAACGGAGTAATGTCTTAAGCAAGATGACATGATGTAGAGGGATAGATCCAATCAATATGAATAAAACCCTTTCCAAAGATTACGTGTAAATCATTAACCATAGCAAGTACGTGATCACCGGTATGCATGGTGGACTTCTTCCGGTGATCTGCCTCGCCTTTGAAATGCTTGCCTTTCTTTCGACATT